ACAGAGAAAGAGAGTGAGTGAGAGATTGAGGAATGAGAAATGAATGAGTTTTTATTCAATGCGGTCATTAATGAAATAAGAATCCTTTCACTGACTAATGATGTAAAAATGATTATGTGCGCAAGGTAAGTGTGTGTGTTAGTGCGTGTGTATGTGTATATGGGAGCTAAGTAAACACAATCAGCCTGTGTAATTTTTTCAATTGAACATAGTTGTTTTTTTCTCATTTCTCACTCATAGAACTAATGAGTCTTCATAATTTATTTAAAATCATGTGACAATGGCCCTTTTAAAAAAGTTTTTAAATTTTATAATGGCGTTGAGACAGGTGGTCATTAGAAACATTTCAGTATTAATTATATTTGCGTTTCAACTAAAAATATTCGAGTGTGGCGCCAATCAATGCAAAATCAATTATTAATACTTGTAAAAGTTAGGAAAGGCTACAAAAGGCCAAAGAGGAACGTTTTTAGAAATTAGCAAGTAAAAAAGTGCCAGTCGCTGTTGCCGACAAATACGAGGGCGGTTCGGAAACTTCTTACCCTATCAATGAAAGAGAATAGTTAGTTTTTCAAAAATATTTTTATTTTTCAATATAATCTCTTGAAACTTCAATACACTTAGTCCAACGCTTTTTTTTAGCAATTCTATTCCTTGATTAAAATAGTTTTCCTCAAGGTCTTCAAAATAGTTTTTTACAACTGTAATTGCATCTTCATTTGAGGTAAAACGCTTGCAAGCAAGGAGTTTTTTTAGATTTGGGAACAAGTAAAAGTCACTGCGAGTTAAATTAGGAGAATAAGGTGGGTGGTCAAGCAACTCGTACTTTAATACGTTGATTTTAGTTACGAGATATGCACATGGTTCCTTTTGAGAATATGCATAGAATCACTTTCTGAGTCGATTTACGCATGTCCGTCGTCCGTCCATCCATGTATTTTCGTGAACAAAGTACAGGTCGCATTTATAATCCGATTTTGATGAAATTTGGCATAGATCACTTATTTGGCCCAAGGACATACCCTATTGAAATTGGGAAAAATCGGTTCAGATTAAGATATAGCTTCCATATATATTTTGGTCCTATTTAATGTAAATGATGCACCAAAGTCCCTATATATCTCTCAATTTGCACGAAATTTGGCACAGCTTAATGAATTAGGTCTAGAATGATGTGTGTTAAATTTCCTGAAAATCGGTTCAGATTTAGATATAGCTCCCATATATATTTTCGTCCGATTTAAGGTAATTGGTGTACCAAAGTCCCTTAATATATTTCGGTTTTCCCGAAATTTGGCACCGGGTAATGAATTTGGTCTAGAATGATGTGTGTTAAGTTTCCTGAAATCGGTTCAGATTTAGATATAGCTTCTATATCTGACCAAATGAAAAATTTAGTATCGGTTATATGTTGTGCAAAGTTTGGTTCAAATAGGACATTCCTTTCGCTTGATATTGGATTTATAAATGTTGAAAATTTGTGGGGGAGTGGATAAATGGGTCCCGTCATCAGACTTGATCTATGCTTGGTAAAGATTATAGGTTATACAAAGTTTGGTTCAAATCAGATAGTCCGTTCGCATGATATTATAACACAATTTTTACCACTTCGTGGGGTACCAGAAGAAGTGGACCGATATTCCCCATTATTGAACTTGAACTATGTTTGGAAGAAATATTGCGACGTGCAAAGTTGGATGAAATCGGTTACTCCCTTCGAGAGTTATCGTGCGCATCAGTGGGCCAGACAGACGGACATTTGTAAATCGACTCCAAATTGCTTGAAACGGATTTGGTCCAAAGAAACATGGGGTCTAAAGCCAGTATTTCGATAAGGCAAATGTTTGCCGTATTAACCATAACATATTTATATAATTTATTGGGGCACCGTTCTGTTGAAACCACATGTTGTCTAGGCTCATATCTTCAGTTCAGAAAAAAACAAATGATATTACAAATGATATACCTTCCACCATATGTAGTTTTCAACCCTACATGGAACTATATTACAACTAATCGCCGTTATATAGATGCTATACATTATTATGGACCGATACTGATAGGTTTTTGAGGAATTACAGTCAATTCGTTTGAAAAGCGCACTTAAAATATTCAAAGCTATATGGGGCTACATATAAAAGTGGGACGATATTGATCGTATTTGGTGGGTAGATTTGCCATTCAATGAGAGCCGAATCTATTAAATTACATACATCCAAACACTAAAAAATTGTACTTTTTGCATTTATTTGGTAAAATCTAAAAGAAATTAATCCAAAGTCATCATAAATTTGGTTTACATATTTTTTTTAATTTTATAACGCGTAAGTAACGACAGAATTCACACTTTTAAATATTTTAATTACAGTCTGAACAAGTTTTTTCAGAAGTAGTAGGTAGGAATATTTGTTAGCCTAATCGTATAATTAAATATTTTTAATTGCATACTGGCCATTACAATCGATCTGATAGTTATGCAATAATTATGTGTTAAGCTATATTTATATTTAGTTTTTAGACGTTTTATCTAATTATGTGGTACGATAATATTAAATATTTGTAAGACTGCGAGAAAAAAAGGATACACACTTTTTGAACAACAACAACAATAGATATGACACTTTTAAATGTTTCATAATTACACGCTTCAAATTATACACACACACATATGTCTTACAGAACAATTTAATTTTATGCAGCAGAAAGGGGTAAGAATGTTTGTTGGCCTTTTAATACTATAATTAAGCGATTTTAATTACATGCTTATTAGCTTAAATGGTGACACAGTTAATAAATAATTATACTTCAATTAAGCAGAAACCTATTTTTTATTTTATTTTTACGCCATTAAATCTTATAGAGGGAAGCAGATCAAGGCTATGCTATGATGATCGCACAACATTTCATACTACAGTGTTGTTGTTTACAACGGGAAGCCCACAATAATTCTCGATAATGCTTTAAATATTTTTCAATTTTCCAGACATCTGCTTGTCATGTTTATATTTTGTTCGCAAATATGCTCGGAGTGCAAACTTATTACATTTGACCTGTACTTTTGCTTACCAACCCTTCTTGGCCTGAAACTTTTACTTCTTAGAAAAAATCAAAATTAACTCTTACTATGTTCACACCGAGCCTTTTTACATCTTCTCAGTGTAAAACTTGCTTCATATAAGAACCAGTAAGGAAAGTAGTAAAGTCGAACTGGGCCGACTATATGATACCCTTCACCACTTTGGGTACATATGTATCCGAAAATCGTCGCCTTTTTGAAGGAATTTTGACATGAAATTGAACGAACTTAAATATGTGATTTTTATATCTTTCTGGAACCTATGCTAAATTTCATTTCATTTGGGCATGTTTAGAGTCGTTTGCGCACAGTGGGACAGATTTGTGTAAATCGATTTAAAGCAAACTTGACACACGCTATTCGGTATGCTGCACTATTTAAAATTTAATCTCAATAAATATAAATTTAATCTCAAAAATTATGTATGGAAGCTACGAGATATCTATATTTGAACCGATTTGAAGCAAACTTGACAGAGATTAATTTATACTAATTTCAATACGTTGTGTCAATCGGCCTAGCTGTGGATCTTTAGTGCACAATTTACTTAAAATGTGACGAAAATATATATAGGAGGTGTACACATCTTTCCAGACTTAATTAAATAATTCAAATATGCCAAAATTCGTGCAAATCAAATGATTTTCAGGGACTTTGGTACACCATTTACCTACAATCGGGCGAAACTATATATGGAAGCTATATCTAAATCGAACCGATTTTCACGAAACTTAGCACACGTCGTTCTAGACGTAATTCAATACGCTATGCCAAAATTCGTGCAAATTAAATGATTTTCAGGGACTTTGGTGCACCATTTACCTGAAATCGGACGAAAATATATATGGGAGCTATATCTAAATCTGAACCGATTTTCAGAAAACTTAGCACACATCATTCTAGACCTAATTCAGTAGGCTATACCAAATTTCATGCAAATCGAAAGATATATAGAGACTTTGGTACCTCATTTACCTTAAACCCGAGGAAAATATATATGGGAGCTATATCTAAATCTGAACCGATTTTCACGAAACTTAGCACACGTTATTCTAGACTTAATTAAATACGCTATGCCAAAATTCGTGTAAATCAAATGATTTTCCGGGACTTTGGTGCACCATTTACCTGAAATCGGACGAAAATATATATGGGAGCTATATCTAAATCTGAACCGATTTTCAGGAAACTTAGCACACATCATTCTAGGCCTAATTCAGTAGGCTATACCAAATTTCATGCAAATCGAAAGATATATAGGGACTTGGGTACCTCATTTACCTTAAATCCGACAAAAATATATATGGGAGCTATATCTAAATCTGGACCGATTTTTCCCAATTTCAATAGGTTCGTCCTTGGGCCAAACAAATGAGCTGTGCCAAATTTCATCCAATTCGGATCATAAATGCGACCTGTACTTTGTTTACAATTTAACATGGACAGACGGGCGGACATGCATAAATCGACTCAGAAAGTGATTCTATGCATATTCTCAAAAGGAACCATGGGTCTATCTTGATTATTTTTGCCTGTTACAAACATATGCACAAAAACATAATACCCTGTACCACAATGTGGTGAAGGGTATAAAAACACTGATACAAGAAATGTTTGTCAAACATCAAAACTGACAAAGGTATTTGAAAACGTTTCATATAAGAAATATTTAAGATTGTTGGCCACACTGAATATTTTTACACATTCAGTGCATGTATGTATGTGTTGTCAAAACGAGAATGGACGATAAAAACAAAAGAAATACAGTTTCAATAAAAACACAAATAAAAATACTGAAAGAAATTCAAAGTGTGTGTAAACTGTATCAAAAATTCCAAAAATATAGAAAATATTTTTTTTTGCATCGAAAAATTTAAACAAAAAGAGAGACAGAAAACGAAAATATGAAGCTCTAAACAAAGCAATGTCAATGTGGTTTGAGCAAATGATGCAGAAGGGGGCAATAGTGACTGGACCAGCACTTATGGAAAAGGCTCAACAATTTGCTGTAGATTTGGATGTCCCTGACTTCAAACCAAATCCTGGTTAGCTTCAGCGGTGGAAAAAAAAGGGAAAATATAAATTTTAAGAAAACGCCACGGCGAAGGTGCTTCTGCCGACACTGAGTCTGTCACAAATTTCCGGGAACATTTATAATGCGGACGAAACCGGGCTCTTCTATAAAGCACCGCCAAATGGATCGTATGTTAAAGTTAAAGGTGTCAAGACACCAAAAGACCGAATAACATTGGTTTTTATATGCAATGCAATTGGCTCCGATAAATTTGCTTACTCAATCGGCAAACCAAGGCGTTTTCGCGGAAGAACTGTGCCCATATCCTATACGTTTAACAAAAAGGCTTGGACGACCAGCAGTATATGGTGTAAAATCATTAAAGAGCTGGATGATAAACTTAAAAAAAGGAAAAAATTGCTGCTGATTGATAACGCTTCGTGCCACAAACTAGAGTTCACACCAAAAAGTGGTATCGGCATGTACCACAAGCATAATTCAAGCATTAGATCAAGGTATGTAGATATGTAAAGCATTTTAAATCCACATTGAAACACCACTTAATGTCGTTTATTTTATGTTTCATTTAAATTTATTTCAAGGTATTATTCAATCCTCTAAATGCCAATACAGAAAATGCCTAATTCGGGAACAACTATTAGCGATTGAACGTGATTATATGGAAAAATTCTTAAGAAGCATTTCAATTTTAAGGGCGTTGTATATCATTAAACGCTGTTGGTGGCTTGCAACACCACAAACGATACAGAATTGCTTCAAAAAGGCTGGGATTTTCAAGGATGATGAATCTAAAGAACCTGACATCACTGAAAATATCTTGGACGATGAATACAGCACCTTTTTTGAAGAAATGTCTGATTTGGAGAAACATGATTGCTTTGGTACCTTAAATGAAACTGAAATAGTAAGTGAAGTACAATGTCACAGTTCTGACGAAGAGAAAGTAGAGCTAGTGCCTGAGACGACATCTAAGCCAAGCCATTAAGGAGTTATAACTCCTTAGTGCAAAGAAAAATAAAAGAATTTTTTCATTCTATTTGAAAGAACATATGTATCTGTTGTTAGGCAAACTAAGAACTGATTGTAATTTTGCTATTATTGTTTATATTAACTTTTAGTTTTTAAGGTACTGAATTTTTTCTTGCCAAACTGTGATTTTAATTTCGTAACTTTGTATTTTTATATACTGAATTGTTTTGTTTATAAAATATTGTTCTTTAAAACATGCTTTTCATTTAAACATTTTACTTTAAGGAAACCCTGCCACATTCTGGGTGTCAAAATTTTTTCATTTAATTCTTATCTACTCTAATTCTAGAATGTCCCTACAAAATTTCAAGTGAAAATCTCAACAACTCTTGAAGATATAGCCGATTTATTGTGCTAGCATCAAGTGACGGCAAGAGGGCTTCTCAAACTTTAAACGCATTTTTCTCGAAACAGTTTTTACGAATGGCGGGAACGATAACTCAAAAACTAATAATCCAATCGGTTCCAAATTTTGACACGTTTCTCTGGGAGTGTATAGCTCTCGTATGAACGAGGATAAAGCCAATCGGTCTAGAGCTTCCTTATTTTTTAACATAGTTTGCGGTCAAAAATAGTCCCAAAAAAATTTAAAAATTCCGTCATTTTGTTAATTTTTAAGCGTTGGAATTTCCGGATTTCGATGTTCCAGTGATGAGTTATCATGCCCGCCATCAGAAATAAGGACTTTTCTTTAATCACCAAAAACAACAACAACTGAATTTTGCATTATTATTTTTCTTCTTTTTTAAATCTTCAATTATATATGTGTAAAGTTACAAACCATAACATACATTGGTATTCATTTACTAGCCCAATGAAAATCTTGAAAATTTAAAATCGAGAATGGGGGAGGTTCCCTTAAGAGAATATATTCATATAAGAAATAGATTTCTTATATGCGTATGTTCTCTTATAAGGAACAACTTTCATATGTCTGATAATTCCATATAAGAAAAAAAGGCATATAAGAAAGAAATCTCTGATTTTTTGAGTTTCTTATATCCGATATCTACTGTACCACAGAAATTTATTTAAAAATGACCTGCACTCGATTATATCTCCCTGACAAGTTAGACTCGCCGTCATATCCTTGACCTCTCAAAAATATTGTATCCAAACCCAACCTTATTATTTGTTTATTATGACTGTTGATAATTCTTTTCCTGTAAATCGTTCTACTGTCTGTTCCAGTTCTTTATTAATAGTAAATCTAGTATAAGGGAATAATGTTAAAATCACACTCAGAGTAAATGAATTCGAGAAGTTCGGGAACGGAAATCTAGTAAATATTTCAAAATTAGATGTCTTTACTTCCAAACAACAGTCCAGCAACGTACACAGGATTTAATTAGGGGGGGGGGGGGGCCGGTAGTACAAAATTAAAAAATTCGCTGTTGCAAACATAAATTTACTGTGAAAAAAATTCATTTCGGGTACGTCCCTGCAACAGTCTATCAAAAGTTAATATTTCTTGTTACCATTTTTACTCGCCCAAATTTTTCGAGTAAAAAGTTTACAAAGAGAACGCCATTTTGTTTTGTTCTCTCTTAAATTTGATTCAATGTTATACCACTTTTGTGGGTTCAGGAACGGGTTTCGAGTAAAAAGTTGCAAAACTTGTAAAAAAAAACTATTGATAGCTGTTCATTTTCAAAAAACAACATTTTTCACTTCTTTAACAATAGACTTCTGGATGCATTCTCCAATTAGTTCTGTATTCTGCGATTCAAGTATGTTGAATTTTTGGGCGTACTTTCCGTTTGTCCGTAAAATGTTGTATATGTTTTGACCTAATCATCGCATCTTTGTGGTATTCTTTTTTTCGATCAATAGCATCTTTTCAATTTGTAAGACAGACAGAAGTAATTTTGGGACTTGGTGGTTCCTCACCCTCATTTTTTTTGTTAAATAAGATGCCGACAGTACACAAATCAACTAAATCTGAATATGATATACAAGAAACCGGGGCCGGGCCGGGTATGGTTAAAACGAACAACAACTCAATTCAAACACATTGATTTTTATATTTTATCCACAATCTATGCTCTTCTTTACACTTTTAATGTGGTTTGGCATATTCTCCACCAATTATATAATGATTTCATCTGGAATTTTGTTTCATTCCTCTTGTGAATGTAGAAATTTTGATAAAAAACTTCAATTTTTCGACATAGCCTCCATATAAAGATCCCACAATATTTCTAACCTGCAAGTGGTTGGAAAATCATCAGGGCAAACAGAGCAATTTTGATTGCGCACCTTATGGTTGTAGAATCAATGATTGGACATATATAGAACTATCAGTTCCGCTAATTATACACTTTTCTCACTTTTTGAATTAAAGTGGCTTTTTTTACGTAAAATACCAATGCCAATTGTTAACATTCTTCTACCGATGACTTCTTCTATATAATAAACGGCATTTATTAGCTTATTTTTGTTCAATAAAATTTGATGATACTATTTCGACAATTTCATGTCAAGCGTTACCAATAAGAGGAAAACTAAAAACAACAACATATCCGAAAAAGGCATGAACGTCTACCAACTAGAAAAAATAAATGGAAAATCAAGCCAAAAGTCAATATCATCCACAACAGCTGTTTAAACCGAATTCAATGAATATTTCTATATTTGTTTATTAAAGCATATACAAGAATACTGGAAGTCCTTGAATTAAAATTGCGGGTCATGAAGACATGGAGGAGCAGTAGTGGTCAAACCATGTGAATAACAATAAGGTTGAAATCTTTGAGGTATTTATTTTCGAAACACTACCACATGGATGGGGAGGAAGTGAAAAAGTCATTATCTGTTTTTTTCTGTTCAGTGGGTCAGAGCATACCGATGTATCTTCCAGCAAAACTTCCATTTAATAAGACTCTGCTTGGATTGGGATGGTAAATAAAGCTTAGGGAAGATTTTTAAATAAACATTTATGCCACATGCAGATAAATAACCATTTTATAAAAGATCCACAATGTATTACCCACACACAAAAACACCCACATATACACAGTCGGAACAAACACTCACACTATGAACATAAATGAAACGTAAATTTAAACATTTATTTGACTAAATCCTGTGAAAGTCGTCGTCGTAGTTGTTGTTGTTGTTTGTATGTGTGTCAATGTATCAAGACCGGAAGTCATTTGAGGACAAAAAGATGAAGCTGTATTCGATATAAACATCGTGGGCTGGGTGTGTGTGTGCGAGTCTGTCTGCTGAATCGAATCTAAAAATATGATACGACAAGTCATGTTTATTTGTTGTGATTATCGTGAGGGGCATTTAAGTTTTTCTTTCTGTGTTTGGCGAATCATAACATGAAAAATGTTGTACGCTGTGTAACTTCCTTGATTTCCCCTTACCTAACTTACTTTCCTAACAGCTGGAGAATAAGGGTGTCTATTCTAACGGCTAAAAAAATCAAACACGACATTGGCATAAGAATTCATTTCCTTTTCGAAAAAGTTTGCAAACTTATGACAGAAAGTGATACCAAAAATAAACAGGTCAATGGTTATCTGTTTTATCGGGAGTCAACGATAACGAACGAAATGGCAAGTAAGGCAGGCATTTCAGGACGACTACGAATGAATGCTATGGCCAACAGATTGTACTCCCCAGCATTCCGTGACATTGTCAACGTGCAACAATGTTCCCATCAAACTGAGACAAAGATTCAAACGCCTGTTGTATTTATGTGAGAAATTTAAACATAGCTTAAATTCGAATTCGAAAATAATATCAGAAACATAAATGCGAGAGAAGAGATTGGTGGTGTTGAGAACGCATGCGCCAAAATTGAGAAATAAATAGGATTGCCAAATAATATGTGGGAATTATTGAAATAAAACATTTTGGATCATGGAAGAATGTATGGGTATTTTAAGATATCCCCCATACAACTGTCCCGGCCGATTTGAGGTATTTATCTGAAAAATTTTTTATCAATTTTGTTAAAAATTTAATTTCAATCAGACACCCGTTCGAAATACATATGGAAGCTATGGCTGCATCTGCACCCATTTCAACAAAACCCAGTAACGTCATTCAAGTCTCAATTTGATACGTTGTGAAAAATTTCGTGTTAATCGGACAAACATTAGGAGTTTGGTGCACCATTTATGTAAAATCGAACAAAAATATATATGGGAGCTATATCTAAATCTAAACCGATTTTTACGAAACTTAGCACAAATCATCCTAGAGTTGATTCAGTACGCTATGACAAATTTCAAACAAATCGAAAGATATATAGGGTCTTTGGTGCGCCATTTACATTAAATCGGACGAAAATATATATGGCAGCTACATCTAAATCTGAAGCAATTTTTACGAAACTTAGCACACAACATTCTAGACTCAATTCAATACGCTGTGCCAAATGTCGTGCAAATCGAAAGATATTTAGGGACTTTGGTGCACCATTTACCTTAAATCGGACGAAAATATATATGGGAGATATAAATAAATCTGAATCGATTTTCACGGAACTTAGAGCACATCATTCTAAGCTTAATTTAGTACGTTGCGTTCACCCTATTACATTTTTACGATTTTCTGGTATAATCGTAATCAGCGTCCTCGAAGCCTTAATATCTGTTATTTATTTATCTTATACTAATATAAATAACTACTCTAATATGGCCAAAAATGGGATATATGGCCCATAGTTCAATAAGACTCATCTTTCAACATTTTACAGACTTGGTTAGAATATTAGGTTGTTTGCTTCGAATTGGATAGTCCGTTTGCATGATATTTTAAAATTTGTTTTCAAAAAAATTAGGATCATTTTGTGGGGGAGGCACGAGAAGTAGTGGGCCGATATTACTCATCCCCCAGACAGACATTTATTAATAGACT